TTACAGCTGCTCAAGAGCTGGGATTACAGGTGCGCACCACTACACTCAATCTCGTTTTACCTTTTCTTGGTTATTGTTTGTTTTTCGGAACTGGGGATTGAACTCAGGCCCTGGTACTTGGCAGGGAAACACTTATTCCACTGAGCCATCTCCCTGGCCCTCAGGCCCAGTCTCAATTGCCTCTCAGTGTGCCCTGGGGGTGGGGCTAGCACGGAGAGCCAGGGATCGAACCCCTGGCCCCTGTGCCTCGTTGCAGGCACTTTAATCCACTGAGTTATTTGGCCAGCCCAATCATTGGTATCCTATCTCCTAGGGGTCCTCTTAGCTGTGAGTTTCTAGCTATCTCCTTGTCTTTGATGACCTTGGGAGATGTAGGATTTGCAGATATTTTTCTTAGGACTAGACTGGGGGGGTGGGAGGACAGAGGTGACTTGTTTTCTGGTTCTGTCACACCAAGGACCCTGTCTTAAGGTGACACCACACTGTTGGTGTAGATTGGATAGGTGTGGTCACCTGGCCTGGTCAGCTGCCAGATTTTCACTGGGATGTTGACCCTTCCCCTCCTTCCAAGAGCTCTAGAAGGGCATCACTGCTCCAGGGCCACAGGTTGGGTGGGGAGTCTGGGTTCCTCTCCTCCAGGGCAGAAAATTCATGTAAATTCTATGGCATTCTGCCTTATTTATTTATTTATTTATTTATTTTTGTTGTTGTTGTTATTATTATTATTAATGTAGTTAGTTCAGGGTCTACAGGTCTCACTACACAGATCAGACTCGTAGTGATCCTCCTCCTGCTTTCAGCCTCCCAAGCACTGGGTTTACTGGCCCACACCACCATGCCCAGTCTCATTCGTTGCCTCAGCGTGCCCCCGGGGCCAGGGCCAGCATGGCACGCTGTTATTTATTATTTTTATATAGTAAGAGGAGCCCAGGGCTTCACATGGAGCTCTATCCTCAGCTCTTTTTTATTTTTTAAACTTGAGACAGTTTCTCTAGGTTGCCAGGTTGCCTGGGCTGGGCTCAAACGTGGGATCCAAGCCTCTTGCCTCAGCCTCTCAGCGTGCTGGGCTTATATATGTGCACCATTTCACCTGGCTTATTCAGTTATTTATAACAGTCTCAACCTATTTGTTTATTTGATTTTTGGTACCAGGAATCGAACTCAGGATCTCATGTTTACCAAGCAAGTGCTGTGCCGGGAACTATATCCCTGGCACCAACGGTATCAACTTGTGGACAGCGCAAAGTATCAGTGATGTTCTGTTGCTCCTCGTTTTCCAGCCTTGGCTCCTGGGGTTTTTTTCTGTCACCCCCAGGTCCCCTTATCCCACTGGGGAGAGTGCATTGCCCCAGGTCCAACCTGTGTGTTTTCTAGCAATGATACTGCTGATAATGTTGTCAAGGCTGGCTATGACTTTGTGACCTTCCTGTCTCAGCCTCGTTTGTGTTGGGGTTGCAGACATGTACCACTATCCTTGGTCCAAAGAGGCACCTGAGCAAAGGTCAGTAACACCTGATATGATGCAAATGGCAAATTTTACAAAACACTTTGCATTTTCTTCCTCTTCCTCTTCTCCAAGAGCTCAATGTTTCCAGCTATATATATA